AAAAAAAAAAAAAAAAATAGCCGGGCATTGTGGTAGGTACCTATAGACCCAGCTACTTGAGCAAGAGAATCGCTTAAGCCCAAGACTTTGAGGTTATAAGGCGTGAGGCCATGGAGCTCTACTAAGGGTAACATAGTGAGACACCGTCTCAAAAAAATAAAAAAAATATATTTTCAAAATATATTTTATATATATATATATTTGTTGCTATAAAATCAGAGATAGAGTGTAGCACAGTGATTAATATCATGGATTCATGAGCCAGTGGCCTGGGTTTGAATCCCACTTCTACCTCCTATTATTTATATAACTTTGGACAATTTGTTAATCTCTCTATGCCTTATTTTCTTCATCTGGGCAAAGGAAATAGTACTATGAGGTCGTTAAAAGGCTTACATTATTAAGAACAGTGGCTGGACAGAGTAAGGCTATGGAAGCACTTATTACATAATTATCTGCCTCTCCCTCCTCAAAAACAGGCTCTAGGAGAATAAGGCTGAATTCTGTGTCATTCCTCACTGTTCCCCCTTGGCCTGAGAAGGGGGCATCTAGTGTGTGCTGAGTAAATGAAAAGGAATAAATAAATGAGAGAGCCAACAGTCTGTAAATGTCAGGAAGAGATAGAGCACAAACGCGAAAAGCAGTCTCATGATTCGTGAAGGGGGGACTGCGAATAAAATAGTTAAAGTCTATAAAATACAAAGCGTTGTTGAGATGTATCTCTGAGAGGGAGATGCTCAGGGTAGCTGATTGCTAATGGAAAAGGGGAAGACACAGAGATCCATTTCTGGCTAATGATCTCTTGCCCTCAACTTTTCTTTCATTCTCTGGCAGAATTAGATAGGAATCTCCTATCTTTTACCTAAGGTGTATGCCCCTGGGAATTTCTTAACCTGTCTAATGTCTGAACATCAGTCTCTTCATTTACACAATGGGACAAATAATATTACATCACAGGTCGAGTTTGGGGATTACATCAAATGACATGGAAGAATATCTGCTATATAAAAATGGCAAAAATAATAGCTAACTTTTATAGCTATACGGTACACAGTATCTTTTTGGTATCTGGTATCACAATATCTCTTTACCACAGTTGTATGAGATATTACATCCTCCACACTGAATTTCTTTCTTTCTTTTTGCATTTTTGGCAGGGGCCAGGCTTGAACCCGCCACCCCTAGTATATGGGGCCTGCGCCCTACTCCTTGAACCATAGGCACCGCCCACACACTGAATGTCTTTTTAAAATTAATCCTTTCCTCTTGACTCACAAGAAGAGTTTCTTTCCTTTTTCTAAGATTAACCTTATGCCTTTGATCCCAATCCCTCCCAATGCCTTCAGGACTTTGTTGGGTTTTGGTTTTTGTCTTTAACTTTTGAATCCGGTATCTTCCTCTTTTGCTGGTTCTTTCACCTCTGGCTTCAAACATCCTTGTGTTTCTCATATTTGGGGAAAAAACAAAACAAACAACAAATCCAAACTCTTTATGGGATCCTGGGTCCCCTCCATCTCTCGCCTTGTGATTCTTAAAGAATCATTTGTATTCAAAGTCTGCCCTTCCAGAGCCTCTATTTTGTCTATGAAATCGATCACCAATGACATCCCAGTGGACAAACCCAGTGCTTTTGCTGAGTCCTCCTTTCCTGGACAGTCTTCCATCCTAAACTCAACTCTCTCTGAGCCATATTTTTAGGTGCTTCTCCCCACTACCTCTCAGGTGTGTCCCTGCCTCCTGTTCTGTCTGCCTGCTGCAGGCATTCCTCCCAGGCAGGCAGTGGCCCTCTATTCTTTCTCTGCTTCTAGAAGTCTTACCTGTGCATGGAGGCTCAGATGGCCCTCTCACGAGCTAGCCTCTCAATAGATAAAAGCTCCCTTTTCGTTGGTCTCCAGATATTTCTACCAGACACCCTCATCAGGGTGGCCTCCTACTTCTCAATTTGGCTTAACAGATCTAGTTAAAACCTCAGAGTCCTAGCGTCACCCTTGACTCCCCTTCTCCATCATTTCTTCTGCCCCATCATCACCAGGTCTGTCAGTGTCCATCTTCCAGGCTAATTTCTTCTTCCTGATGTCATTATTACAGATCCTAGACATTTCTCATTGGATTGCTACAGTCAGCACCTAACTGGCCTCATTCACTTACTCTTCCTGGACTAATCTCTACTTCTCCTCGGATCATATCACTGTTTTGTGTCAAAAAAAAAAAAAAAAAAACAACCTTGTGTGTTCACTAGTGCTAATAAGATCAAGTCCAAACTCCCAGCACTGATACCTGAGGCCTTTTAAAGACTCGGCCTCTATTCTACCTTTTCTCTCGTTTCTCTGCTGCATCAACTCTCCATTCAAGCCAAACTGAGCTACTCACTGTCCCCTGAAAAATACTCAGCACTTTTCGGCTGTAAGTATCCAAAGCCTAACTCATGTTCAAGATTGTTCAAATTCCTGACCTGTGTAACTACTCTGATCAATTTATTTCTTCGGATGATAACATGGGTCACCCATTTAACATGGGTCATTCAGAGTCATATCTGTTATTTAAAAAAAATATTAATTCTTTTTGAACTGATGATATAATTAAAAGGGTTACTAGGGTATTAATGTACTAGTTATGTGCACTTGGGGAAGTTACTTCACCTCTCCAGACTTCAATTTCCTCACCTATAAACTGAGGATATGGATAGTAGCTAGCTCATAGGGTTGCTAAGAGGACAGTGACTGCCACATCATATGTATGGTGTAAGTTTTTGTTAAATAAGAAAATGAAAGGTATAAAAAAGTATACTGTGCAAAGTCTCTCTCCCATCCACTGCTTCCAACCACTCACCCTGCTTCCTTTTCCCAGAGGTCATCTTTCCAAATACATTTTATACCAAAGCACAGGGTTTTTGAGTGTGTGAACACACATATTTTTAAAGACAACTGTGTTTACATGTTGTTCTGCGCTCAGCTTTTTCTGCATAACAAAGTATTTTGGAGCTGGTTTCCTTTCAGTACATATTGACTCTTCTCATTCTTCTTAGTGGCTGCAGAGCATTCAATTGTATGGATGTACCAAAATATTTGTTATCTTCACCCAGATTGAAGGCTCTTTGATGTCAAAGACTATGCCTTATGACTTTCTATATCATTCTCTTTGCTTACTGACTTTCAAAATCCTTTTTTAATTTGTTTACTTGCTCAACAAATATTTAAGCATCGATTACACACCAGGTAGGATATGGAAGGTACTGTGGATGCTGAGATGAGTAAATATAGTCCTTGCTGTCTGGTGATGCAGAGTCTGGTGTAAAAGTAGCCTTGCTGGACTTACAGCAAGGTGACAGCCACCATAATGAAGGTACAGAGGAGAGTCTCCAAGATCAGGGGTAGGAAGAGTGGTATGCTTCTCTGAGAAGTCAGGGAAGGCTTATTGCAGGAGACCTTAACCATGGCATAAATCCGAGTGGAGGAAAGTCCTCCACAGGCAATGGAAACAGAACACGTTATTTGGGGGGAACTACAAATGCTTTATGCCTCACTGGAGTACAAGGGCAAGGAGGAAAAAGGATTAGCAAGGGAAGCTGGAGACTTGTGGGTCATGCTAAACCTTTGGACTTTCATGGGTGAAGTAGATGAAGGTGAGTTGACTTTTATTTTGTCTATGTAATTAAGATAAAACAATTACCATTTACCAAGATTTAATAAATGAAGGTAGTTAACACAAGGAGAAAGAAAATAATATTTAAACAAAACTGATATTTTATTTTGTAGGAAACTCACAAAACCATCATATTTATGGGAAACTCACAAAGTACACTGTTGTTATTTTTCTAACCTTCCCATGGATGAAGATCATCCAGCTTTAGTTTCCCCAGTATTTGGAACCCAATGGTGTCATTGATGGGGAAGAAATTGGAAGACAGGATTTTAGGTAGGTAGTTAGGTAGTTAGGAACAGCTCTCCTGGGGAAGAAGGACTAAAGCGGAGCCCCCACACCCCCATCTTGGTGCTGTCCACCATAATTTTGTCCCAAGTAATTGCTTATACCTGGAGAGGAGAGAAATCACCCTACCAATTTACCAGTCAGAACTTAGTGTGTCAACTGTAACCTGTTTCAGCCTAACAACAGGTATAATACAGTCTTGAGGGTAACCTAGACCAGCCTTAATTACCATACAGTCCACAATGCCCCCTCCATGGGCTCTCAGAGGTCCTCAT